GGGGGGGGGGGGGGGGGGGGGGGGGGGGGGGTGCACGCGGGCAAGAAGAAATGAGCACGTGGAGCGTGCAGAAGAAGAGAGCCCTTCGAGACGAAGCAGGCCATTCGAACCCCACGACGATCGTTTTTTAGAAGCCGAAATCAAACCATTGACTAGCTGACTAGCTTAATGGTCTGTTTGGTTTCGGCTTCTAAAGCCCGACACGCACGCTGTACAGCTCCGAGGCTTCGCCACTGGCCGCACGCTAGACTAGCGGCCCAACGTCAGAGTATCGCCGCCTCGATAGCACCTTGTAAGGCCGGTAGCCCAGCCTCCCCGTCGCCCCCCTTCAAGCACTCACTCCCGGCGTCTGAGTGCGGCTTACCTCAGCTGTACCGTGGCATGCATACATCTAGACTTTTCCCCCTCCCCCTCCGCACCCCCCCTCCGGCAATGTTTGCCATCGGGGTTGGGTTTTCGTCGCTTGGCAACGACGTTGTAAAACAAGCCGATCACTTCGTGAGCTCGGCAACCTGGTTAACGTTTTTTTTTTACCTCTGTTTTTGCGGTAACCATGAATGGTGGTCGAGTAGATCATGTTGTGCGGGGTCGAGAAGCCTCACTCCGCGCAAGGGGGATGATCGCACCACGTTGTGTTAAAATGGTCAAGCATCCTCGAGGCAGTTACACACAGTGCTTACAACTGCCGTGGAAGTGATAGCACCAGAAAATAATTAAGTCATACGCAGCTGTCATTCGTACGCAAGGAAGTAAGCACAACATGCCGAACACTCTTAGCAGGATGCAGCGCACCCTTCATGCGACTCGCCGAATACCTCACGGCGCTTCGCGCTTGGCGATGTGAGAGCCTGGTCCGGTGAGAACCCGGCGTGCTCCGTCTTGGTTTTGTAGGGATGCGAGGTCAATGGTCTTAACCGCTAAGGCATGCAAAACATAAGAGTACGTCCCCCCCCCGTCCTTACGGGCGGTATAATAGTAGCGCTACTGAGGCGGCCGTACTTGAGTCTACTAACCGCGCAGTGAAGGACCCTCACAACGGTACTCCAACGGTGCTCCAACGGTTCTTCCATGAACACTTGCGGGAGTGCTACTGAAGCCGCAACACCAGGGGGGCAGGACCTCGCCTCCTCTCTGCTGAAAGTACTCGCAGAACAGTCAACATATTCGGGAGCGGTATCTGCCTACGCGCCAAGAACATGGTACGTATCACCCATCCTAAAAGCACTCCCTACAAACAGTCAACACACTCGGGAGCGGTATCTGCCTATGCGCCGAGAACATGGTACGTATCACCCATATTTTTTGTCTCCTTGCTAGAACAGTCAAGATATTCGACAGTGTTACCTGCCTATGCGCCAAGAAGATGGTACGTATCACCACCACCTTCTCCCTCCTTGTACAAGCACTTCCTAAGACAGTCAAGATATCCAGAAGAACATGGCACTTACCACCACCACTTTCTCCCTCCCAAAAGCAGCCCCTAGAACAGCCAAAACACTCGGGATTGATATCTGCCGATGTGCCACCAACATGGTGCGTATGCATCAACATAATCACCTTCTCCCAACCTAAAATACTCCCTAAAGCAGCCAAACATTCGGGAGTGTCACGTGCCTACGCGCCAAGGACATACCACGCACCACCTTCTCCTTCGCAAAAGCACTCCCTAGAACACTCAAAAAGATACCCAACAACATCATCGTACGCATACGAATCACCACGATCGCCTTCTCCCTCCTGCAAGCACTAAAATATTCGGGAGTGTTTCCTGCCAACGCGCCACACCTCACCTTAGCAGCATCGTGAAGGCAGAACCCGGTCTCTCGCCCCCTTGCTCCTCGATCGCCAGCCGGAGGGATCGGACCGCCCGTGCTGACCCCTGTCCGTCCCAGCTGCACAGCCTGCGGCGCGCAACACATAACAGCGGCGTTGCACACACAAAATGGGGCAAGAAGCACACAAGGTATACAACAACATTTGCACAATGCAGCAAGAAGTGCACAAGCATACAACGCTTGTCTTCAAATACAACCTGTTTTCTCTCTACTACAGTCCTGGCTCCGATACGAGAGGTTTGTGTGACAAAGGCCCTCGACTCTCTTATATCGGAGCCCCCTCTTATACCGGAACAAGAGAGTACTCAACTATACTGTAGAGGGTCGAATCCGTTACAGTCGACTTCGACCCTCTTATATCAATCAAACCCATGACTGTAGTAAGGTCATCTTGGTGTTGTTCGTCCTCTGCAACACGAGCCTGGTCGTACAATAATCCCTTTGTAGTCAGACTGTTTAGTAATGTGCACCCTTCTTTGGGTAGTTGGTCTGTCACCACGGAAGGCGTCCGAGTCAATTGGACAGGTACCGCTCTTGGAAGGTGTTGAGCGGAGAGCGTACCATTTTCGATGAGTGAAGACAAGAACAACGCCAACAACAACACTGCCACTAACTAACGCAATCCATATACACAAGCAGACCACCTTCATCTGCACGAATTGAAACAGGTGGTGTTCCGTGTACAACGTGAATTTTGAAGGCGAAAAGACCGCCGGGGCCACCGCTCACGCCAACGGAACGTGCGTGTAGCACACGAAGCAGCAGCGCACGAATACACGAAAGGAGGGGACAACGGTACAGACTGTACCATTTGCCGACCGATCCAGAGGCATGTGTGGGCTGAGCACCCACGCAAAAAACACGAGCAGCTGTAGAAAAGAAACCTCAACGCAACGTGTCAGGAGGATACCGGGAACACGGAACTGTGCGCGGCGCCCATGTATCGCGTCTCGCAAAATCAATCAGTGTCTCTGGCGCGGTTCGCAAGTGTCTTACCACAACCGCAGTACCTCCCACGGCACAACGTCTATCTTGGACCTAAACCTCGAACAAACAAACGATGACACCAATTCGAACTATTTGGCACGCGCTGCTGCTGTGTCGGATGCCTTATGTACCGCTTTTGTCACGGAAAACTTACTGTCCGCAACGGTCTGATGTTGACGAGTGCTTCGGGTAATTCGTCCCCCCCCCAAAAAAAAACAAGACAATAAATACAACTCCGCACGCCCTTACCCAGGCCAGTAGGGAGCCAGCAGAGGATGAACTTCGCCGGTGGTGGACGCCGCCATGACGGACAACGAGCCTGTTTAAGAGCGGCGTCCTAAGCCCCCTGTTCGGAATGCACCCCCCCCCTCCGCCTCCCGGGTGCCACACGCGGCCACAGGCAAGGTGTTCAATGCCGCCCGTCAGGCGTTCCTTGGTGGTGGGGAAGCGCGAGCAAGGTAGCAAGGAAGGAGGGTAGGCAGCACGCCCTCGCCCGCCTCAATCTTCCGGTGGAAACTGCGAGCGAAGGGGGGGAGGAACAACAGCAACATGGGCATCGTCATCCCCCTTGATGTACCAGGTAGCAGAGCAAGATAGTTGATGCGGGAACCCCCAAGAAAAAATGATGAGGCATGTACCGCGCGCGCGCGGGGGGGGGGGTGTACTCATCACCCGTGTTGCAAGTCCCCACAAAAAAACGTTTTTTTTTTATTACGACAAGGCATCGATCACGCGGAGCCCCCACCGCCGCCGAATTCCTACGGGACTGGCCGTTATTCGTCAACAACTCCGGCTGTAGTGGCGATCCAAAAAGTGGCCAACCCTCTAAAGCAACCTCAAGCATGTCTCTACAGCGTGGTGCCGAAAAAACAAAGGACGGGATCGGCTTTTTGAGCGCGGATAGAGCGCTGAAGGTCAAATTGCGGGGGAACTTGCCGGAGAATTCCAACGAAATTGGAGGTAGACGCGTTGGGCGTGTTTGGCCGACATATAGGCGATCGAGCGCTTCACTGGAACGACCCTCGTAGGGGCGATCCTAAATTTTGCCAACCCCTCAATGCTACCCATGACTATGTAATGCACTCTGGCGAAGTTTCGAGCGAAATCGTCAACTCCTTTGCCCGCGGGTAGCAGCTTGAAGTTTGGTGCTGAGAGCTGCGGAACGGGCTTGAAGCAGCAGCTCTTTCACTTTTGATAGCACGGCATTTGCCAGTTTCAGAGCCAAACCAGGCCAAACCAAATGTCTGCGCGTGTAGAACACAACATGCTTGACGTATCCTGCAGGTTTCATGGCACCTAGCCATCTGTGTGAGGACCACCAGCAGTGACAAAGGTGTGCACTTGATGGTGCGCTGGGCAACCGATCATGGGGGCTTACGCGGGGTACCATCGATTTTCGGGGAGCCTCTATGTCATATTTTTTTGCTCTTTGTGGGACTTGCGACACGGGTGTCATCCCGTAGTCGTTAGCCCATTTGGGGGGGGGGGGGGGTCTTCGGCGTGGCCCCCGGATGGGAGATCTGAGGCAGCGCGCTTAATAGTCTCAATCCTGCTTCCTACAATGCCGTTCGTCAAAGCATACTATCTACCACAGGAAAAATAATTATCGGGATAACAGGGAGCTCATCCAAAGAGAAACAAAAATGTGTTCGAGTGCTACAATCGATGTACCGTAGGTGACACCACAATATGTCGCACACCGCAGACCGAACTCTCAAAGCAGTGTAATCCCCCACGATGCAAGAGGATCGTTGTTGTTTTTCTTGTCTTCACATTAACAAACGTTCCGCCCTCCGCTCAGTACCCCACAATATCCGTACTGGTTCAACTGACTGTCGCCGACTCCTTCCGTGGTCACCGGCTAACTACCCCGACACAGGGATGCATCCATTAAAAACGATTGTAGCATAAGCTTTCGGAAAGCTCCCGACACCGACGTTGTTGGCACCACCTCTATTCGGCTGTGGAATAATCGAGCCTTGAAAAGTCGGACAGCCTTCCCAGGGGGGGGTTCGTATCCCTACCCCTACCCCTATAACCCTAACCCCGTACCCCCTACTAAAACCAAGTTTAAGCTTACTATCCTCGCCAAGGCTACTCTGTGAAAGTCGGGCCAGGGGGGGGGCGACATCTTCTGTCACGTGCGGGTACCGCTGTCGCGCTCGCCGCAGCGCGAAATCGGCGAGGGTAGCTCTTCGTCCATGGTTATCTTGTCGGATCTGACGGTAGAAACGTTAGGTCTCATCGGCGTATCTATCTCCCAGGAAACCACGGGACCACCTTCACGAGGATTTTATTATTCATCTATGAAATAGAGAGGGGGGGTTCGCAATCTGTATCCCTAACCCCGTACTCCCCCTACTAAAACCAAGCTTAAAAATCTCCTCGCGGACGCTGCTGAAATCACGCATGCGTCGTTCGGGAGTGTTTTGGTGCATGGGGGTTTGGTATGTACGATACACTTGTTGCTTCAAGAGCAAAAAAGGCTGAATGAACCGCACAGGAGGAGTGGGCAACACTAACGCACAAAACGAACACGCTCGATTCAAGGGTAGATATACAAGCCGGTCGCCCCGGTGGTCTAGTTGATATCATCGAAACCTTCTAGAGGTCAGGTCAGGGGTTCGAATCCAGGCGTAAGCGAGCTTTTCTTGCAAAGTGAGTTTTTCTCTCGCTTCCGCTTCTGGCCTAGTGGATAGCGCTAGTTCGTGTGCACACAGAGGGAAGAGAGTGCTGAACTCTTCTCGCATTCAAAATCGAAGGCCAAGTACCGCAGGAGGGGAGGGTAGAGAGGGGCTCTTCTGTGTGACCACGGGTTGGAGTAAACGGCACTAAATAGTGCTGTGAACGCTGATTTGAAGTGAAGACAAAAAAAAACAAAAAAACTCTCGCACGCACACACACCATGGGCTCTTTGTTATTGAGCGTCTGTTTTATCCCCCTGAGCGGTCGGTGATGGCATCGCCTGTTGCAACACCTGGTTCCCTTTGGAATGTGCACACGCAAACAGAAATCGTGGAAAAACAGAATTTTCGCTGGTATGGATTCATTGCTAGTCTATCTTTTAGACTCTTTTCTTCGATAGTGATGGGTTCGTTGGGTCATATTGATCGCCCCGGTGGTCTAGTTGGTATCCTCGACACCTTCGTAGAGGTCAGGTCAGGGGTTCGAATCCCGGCGTAAGCGAGCTTTTCTTGCTAGGTGAGTCTATCTCTCGCTTCCGCTCCTGACCTAGTGGATATCGCTAGTTCGTGTGTACATAGAGGGAAGAGAGTGCTGAACTCTTCTCGCATTCAAAATTGAAGGCAGAGTACCGCAGGAGGGGAAGGTCGAGTGGGGCTCTTCTGTGAGACCACGGGTTGGAGCTGATTTCAAGTGAAGACAAACAAAAAAAAAAATGATGAAATAAAAAAAAAACAGGTTGACACTTAGACTATGCATAGAACGCACTCAAGAAGACCGTCCAGAATACGCGGGTAGGGTTCAGCATAGCAAGTAATTTTCAGTGTTGAAATCTTAATCTTCTCGGGCGTGCTATAATAAGAAGCATACGACAAGTAGCCGCGTTCGCTGCTCCCAAGTTGTTACAGCAGTGTCAGCCGTGCTGCTGCAAATTGTAATGCTGTTTGTTCTCTCGGCAACATCCCGAGAGTGAGATGACGAGTCACGGACACACAAAATAGGCAGAGTAGTACATATATCTGCCCGCGGGCGGGCCGGGCCTATTAGGGCGTCGAAGCTGTCATCTACTATACAGTACAGCAGTACTGCTGCTGCGTAAATAGTGTTACCGCTGTATGCGTAGGAGCCCATTACGAGATGCGCCGCATGTGTAGACTACACGGAAGAAACAGCAGCTGCTGCCGCGGGAAAGGCACGCTTCGGTAGGAGCTCCTAACCCGGCTGCTGCTGCTGAGCGTGCAACAAATAAGTTAAATACAAGCCTCTAATCTCTCTGCTAAAATGCTGCTGTGCAACAACACCACCGGGGTTCAGACCTCAAAGCAATGCGCAGCAGAGGCTCTGCTTTGTGGGGTAAAAAAAAAATCAACGCCAAAAAAACAAAAAAACCCTGGCCCATTTTAGAGGGCAAACAGCAGTGTAGCAGAAGCACACAACAGGGGGCGGGGGAAATACCTATTTAGTAGGCAAGGTGCTGTATACCACAACATTGAATCTCGTTTACAATATACGCATTCGCTGCTATGTACGGTAGCACTCACTCACCTTGTGTAGGTTAGTAATTATACGAGCGAGCGAGTCTGTCTGCTCTGCTCCTTCGAGAGACAATCCGTCCTCTCCTTTCCTTAGGTGCAGAATTCCTGCTCTGATCCCTCTTCTTCGCCGCAGGAGGCACCGCGTTGCATAGGAGAAGCTAACCGCCTCCGCTTTCAGCCCGATTCCGACGATGGGGCCTCTACGAGCCTTGATGGGAAGCTACAGCAGCAGTATGCTACGTTGCAACATGGATGCGCCGCGCCGCCGGCGCCGGGGGATACGCAGACGATCCCCACACACACCCCAGTTAAGAATCTACGAGGCCCACGGGATCAGCATCAGAAGGCAAGACCAAAGCAAGACACCAGACGAAACAAAGTGTGCACTCTGGTGGCCATGGAGAAGGCACAGGAGGCGGGGGGCGCCGACAACGCCGTGGACTATGTAGAGGAAGATGGTGGGAACAAGATGCCCGCAGGCACTCAGCATAACACCGCCAGCAGCGCCAGCAGCGCCAGCAGAAATGGCACTAGTCGCTGTCGGCCGAATCGGGAGGAGAGGAGACCCAGGGTGTCGCCCACGGGAACGCTGGATGCCTCTGATCCACAGGTGTGTGTCCTAGCAAGCCAAATTTTCTCAACTGACCACGCCGTCAGAAAGGGCTGTCGGAGGCTCGTACACATGTGTTGTGCATTGAGTATCCGCCCGGGGGGGGTACATATGTCTGTTGTTCCACATCATGCAGCGCATTTTGTCGAATGTGTTGTACATATACAGCAGCAGTATAGTTTACACCGGTGACCGGACCACGGACCTTGACAAAGTCTTCGACAGCAGCAGAGCAGTGTATCGGTCCAAAGCAAGCAATGAGAACAGCAGTGGTGTCCTTCTGCCCCCCACCTCCCCCCGTCGAGCATGAGGCACACAATTGATGTCTTCGGAGAGAGACAGACCACCGGACTGCGGGAGAGACAGCGCATGACGAGGATACCACGATGCCACCACCATCACCGATCACCCCCACCCCCACCGCTCTCCATCCCCGAGCGGAAAACCAGGTCATAAACGCACATGCTTTTGGTTGCGCACAGCAGCAGCAGTCGAATCGCTCACAGCATCAATTCAGAAAGGAGGCTGTGAGTGAGGTGCTGGATTTTCCGCAATAAAATTTATGCTGAAATCGCGTTTTCTTATTTTTTTTAGGGGGGCGTGCGGCAGCAGGCGGTTGTGGTGCCCCGTAACCGCTAGGGGGGTTATTCCACCAGGGGGGGGGGGATCATTTTGGAAGCCCCCCCCCCCCCCGGGCAGTGGACCAATCGTCCCACTCTCCTGGCTGCGCAGAGGCGTAGACCGAGCGATAAGCAAGCAAGCCATGTGTAAGCGCAAAGCGCCTGGTCGAGAACCCGGTGTGCTGTACAGTACGTACGTAAGAATCCGACACTTGGTTCCATTGGAGGTCAGGTCTCCCCGCCGTCTTTGTTCGGGGTTAGATTTTCTTGTTCCCTCTTATAGAGGTTACGCCTTTGAAGAGAGAATGACAGAGGCAGAGAGAGAGGAGGAGAGAGACAGAGAGGCACTCGCCGAGAACCCGGCTGTGCTGCTATATTGTCCATGCACAACAATTTGTCCAGTCACGGGTTAATGTGATACGATGTACCGTTCGAAAGAAATCGAGAGTCAGACAAAATTTTGGAGCCATGATGTAGTGATTCCCACACCAAGGGCGAACAAGAAAGGTCCGAAACAAAAAGTTGGACAACCCCCCTCTAAGTTCAAGCAATTATGGAGCAAAAGACTTGAAGACTGGAAGAAACTTGAGTGTGGACAAAACGCGGAATGACTCGAGTTACCGAGTCTTTCTCCGCCAAAAAAAAAAAAAAAAAATCATTGCTAATCTGTCTCAGACTCTTTTTCTATGATAGAGATGGATTCGTTGTGTCATATTAAGAAAAAAAAAATCATTTGGTATTGTTGAGGAGAATCTTTTGCCGCATTTTTTTTTACATGCTAAGGCTGGTTGCTCAGAACGAAATGATGAAACACGAGCTTCAAAATTGGGCAACATTCGGTATATCTCGAGCAACAGAGTTTTTCTCCACCAAAACAAAAAAACCGTCGTGGACCATCAGAGCCTCAGGGCATCCCAGACAGCGAGAAATAGTTCCGGGTGTCGGCCATGATCTGGCGGGTTGGCAAGCGTTGGTGTCGCACCGACACTGCGAACTCAGCGAGCAACATGTGATTTGAGTTATCCGGTCTGATGCAGGAAAGCCGAAAAAACGCTGCCGTTGACAAAATAATTAGTTTCACGTCGGTGACTCAATCTCTCTCTCTCTCTCTCTCTCTCTCTCTCTCTCTCTCTCTCTCTCTCTCTTTCTCTCTCTCTCTCTCAATGTAGGGCAGATCTCTTTCAAGGAAGGCATTTTGTGCTCTGCTGGATGCCAGCTTCATGCCAGCGTATTGCTTGCATCGCAAAGGCGGTCTGTAGGTGGCAATTTTGTAAAGGAGTGGCAAAATCTCCGACGCTCAGGGAGTCTAGCAAGCAGCTTGCAAGCAGCCTGATGATCCCGTTCGCACATTCGATTTTCGCTGTTGATCTACTCAGTTTATCGTTTGATTTTTTCCCATACCGAGAAACTTTCGTAACATAATCCTCCTATACTGAAACATGAGTACGTCCCCACCCCCGAACCGTCGGCATTGTTGTCTGCCCGTCCTCCCCCCCCCCCGCCGACGATTGCTCCCTTACAGATCAAGCAGGACGTGCTTTCCATGATCGTGCAGTACCTGAGAAGCGAGAAGCTGTTCATGGCCGCGGTCGTCATCCAGGACGAGGCCAACATGAAGACGGCCGAACAGCAGGTGCGTACCGTACCGTGCCGGATAGGTTACGACGACGACGCAAGAACACAGCACACACACACCCCTGGTGATGATGAGATTTTGGCTGCTTCTTTTGGCTTGTGATGCGCATGACCTGACGCGCTTGTCCACACCATGTGAGCCTTGATATCTATGCGTGACCATGTTTTGTGCGCGCTACGTACGTACGTAGGCCCGGCGTGCCCAGGGCAGCCGGCTGCGGAAGGCTACCCTCGAGGGCGACTGGAGCGCGGTTATCAGCCTCATCACCAAGAACCTGTCGCGGTTGCACCAGAAGCGCTTCTACTACGCGGTGTACCGTCAGGTAACGCCAAGATGAGAAGAGAGAGTGAACAAGCAAAGGCGTTGGAATCGAAACGCAGACGCTAACTAGCTAGCCCAAGCAAGACGAGAGGAGTGAACAAGCTAACTATTAATAGCCCTTTTTTTGTTTTCATACCCTGGAGCACTGGAGCTGCTCGAGCGCGCGCCTTACCCCCCCCCTTACCTACCCCCAAAATTGGATGCGCGCAGGAACACCTTGGAGCTTCTGTTGGAGCATTTTTCTAAATGTAGAATCCCTTCCCACCTCCTGCTATGGGTACAACCCCGTACCCCCCCCACCCCCGTCTATGTCGAGAGGAACGATTGGCCATCGGTCCTGTGGGAACAATGGTCCGCCCTCTTGAAGATGCGTGGTCAATGGTCTAACAACCACTAGGGCATGCAAAACATGATGACACCCCCGCCCCCCCCCCCGGGGGCAATGGGCCAAAGATTACCGCATGCACGGATATGAATACACACACACACCCCCTCCCCCCTCTATATCCCGAAAAAACACTAGGGGTGCTGTATTGTTTGACAGCAGTACCTGGAGCCGATAGAGCGGCAGGAGAGCGTTGTTGGCGTTTGAAGAATTTTTCACGTAGAATCCCCATCCCCTGTTTACATCCCTTGGCTGTTGTTTGACTGGAGCACTTGGAGTTGATAGAGCGGCAGGAGTACCAGAGAACGTTGTTCGCGTTTGGGGCATTTTTTTACACGTACAATCCCTACCCCCACCCCCTGTTACAAACCCGTACCCCCCCCCCCCGGCCAAATCCCGCGGCTATTGTTTTGACAGGAGTACTTGGAGCTGATAGAGCGGCAGGAGTACCAGAGAGCATTCGTTTTCCTAAACCGCCGGCTTAAGCCGATGGAGGCCACGGCCGCATCGACGCCGAACGAGTTCCTTAACCTCTGCTACCTCCTGACGTGCAAGTCGGTGTCGGACGCCGGTCACTTTAGATCCTGGGGGGGAGTCTTGGGCGGGAGGGAGAAGCTGGCGGAGGAGCTCGCGAGGTTGGAACGGAGGCCGGTTGTTGTTGTTGTTGTTGTTGTTGTTGTTGCCGGGGCCTCTTGATGTTGCTTTGGTGGTCTTGGTGGTGTTGGTTGGGGTAGTGGTGTTGTTGTCGATACGTTTCTTTGCAATAACCCTCCGCACGTGCCACACACACCGGTCCCCAAGCACCCTTACGACCCCCCCCCCCGATGAACACACGCTAAATCGGCAATTGCACCGCTCAGGTTGGTGGAAGCAGAGACCGTTTCGCTGGCGCACCCCTCCCAGATGCCTCCCAACCGTCTGGTAACTCTCCTGGAGCAAGCGGTGGCGTTTCAGATCGAGAGCGGGCGGTATAATCCAAAGGCGGGTACCCAACAAAATGAGCAAATGAAGTCTCCGCTGTCCGCGAGGTCTAAATCGAAAAAAGAGAGCTTCGTTGACACGCTTCCTGGGGATCACGACAAGTGACCAAATGCCTCCAAGTCTTTCTTTCCCACACCTACAATCCATTTTCCTCCTCTTTCATTTCTGTCTTTCTTTCTTCAGACCTTCCTTCTTTGGTCACGTACAATACTGTTGTTGACATTCCTAAGGAGTCGCCCTGCCTCTCTTCCTCTTGCGGACGCTTCGCTGCTTGCGCCCCCCCCCGTTAGCCCGAACGCCCAATCAACCCATGGCATGTCTGTTTTGGCACAGCAAGCGCAAAGGTGAGGACCAGCCTCTGGTTCTCATCCTTGTGAAACGTAGCCTTGTGCCCGGGTGAAATCGCTCCGTTCCGGCATGGTAGGGATGCGAAGTCAAATGATCTAACGAGTACGACATGCGCTTACATGAGTACCCCCCCCCCCCCTCCGAAAACACTCGCACACACACGCAGTTGACGCCGCGGGCGTCGACGCTGGCCCGAGACTATCGATGCCCGGCCGTCCCAGACAGCCCCCTAGACGTTTACAGGGGCGGGCACTCGGCCGGGGTAAAGTGCGTGGCCTTCGTTGGCGAGGAGGCGGCTTTGTTGGCCTCCGGGGGAGGGGACGGGGACATCAGCCTGTGGCCGACGAACCCTACCGCGTTGTGGCAAGACGATGGTGGAGGTGGTAGTGGCGATGATAGTGGTGATGGTGGTGGCAGTGGTGGTGGCAGTGGCGATGGTGGTGGCGATGATGGGGGTGGCTGTTTCGGTGCCGATGACGGGGAGGCAGGACAGCGGCGGCGGCGGAGGCGGCGGCGGCGGCGACGAAGACGAGAGCGGGACGGGGAAGTCTTCGCCACCGACAACGGCGACGAGGATTGCCGCGGTTGCTCGTTCGTCCGCAACGGCGGCGGCGGCGGCGGCAGCGGCGGCGGCAGCGGCAGCGGCAGCGGCAGCGGCAGCGGTGGCGGTGGCGGTGACCAAGTAGGGTCAGTGTCCCCGGTTTTGACGCTGAGGGCCGGGGCGGCGGCGGGGAAGGAAAAAGTTCGCGTCTGGGACGTGGCCGCCAACAGGCAGGGGAGCCTGCTCGCGAGCGCTTCGGGGGACGGGGCCGTTCGGTTGTGGTTGTTGCCGCCGAGCGATCAGCTGCTCGAAGGTGTGGTACTGCCTGCGCTT